TATTGATTAATCTGTCCATCGTTTTTGTGATTAATCAGTTTGTTGTTTAGTCCATGAAATGTTAGAAAACAGTAAAAAATCATTGCTGTTTCCCAAAGCCCAGGGCGACGTCCTCAAATGTTTGTCCATTACTGTCATGGAGGACTCAAGAAACCAGAAAATATTCACATTTTTTTATATGTCACCTTCAGCTCTGGGAAACTGCGATGTGCGATTGTCTTAAAATGTTACTGACTAAATGGTCAATCGATGAATCAAGAAAATATTCAACAGTGAAAATAATCGTTGGTTGCAGCTCTTATTGCAGACACCTGCTGTGAGTTATTGGTGAAGCTTTCTGTCACCTTGAAACATACACAGTACCAACAAAGTTCATCTGTTGGTTATTGTTTTGATTCAACGATTAATACATCAGTTACAGAAAGGACATTCCCAGAGACCAGGGGGGCATCTTCAGATTTCATGTTTGTCTGACCAACACTCTAAAACCCAAAAGGCACTCAGTTTACGAAGTTATAACAGAGAGAAAAGCAGCAAACCTGCTAGAATCAGACAATGTTTGTATGTATTTATAATGACAATGTAGCAAATGACCGTGTGAGAGGAGTACAGAGAACTATCAGCTGGATCTGCAGCTTAGGCTCAGTCTCCCACTCTCCGCTTTAAAGGTGATGATGTGTCAATGTTCACAACTTGTTTCTGCTGCCCCCCAGTGGCCAAAAACATCAGTTATTGCCCACAATGTTGTTTACACAGCGAGAAAGCAGTAAACCTGATGGAACCACACTGTTTAATGTGTTTTCTTTACTTTTTGTTTGTTTTACTTTTACAATAAATGTATTGTAACAACTGCTGATCATTTATCTGTCCATCGGTTGATGTAGCGCTGGAACGATTAGCTGATTAATCAGTTAGTCAGCCTATAAACAATTCCAGAAAATTCTTTGGTACCAGCTTTTGTGAGCCTTTTATGATAGTAAACGGAATATATGTGGGTTCAGGATATTTCAAAATTGAAACTTGGGCATTTTTCATTGTTATTTGACATTTTAAAGACCAAAGAATTCAATAAATGAAGAAAAGAATCAGCGGAATTATCGATAATGAAGAAAAGTGTTAGTCGTAGCCCTAGATGAATGTACTAGTAGTTCCAACACACACACAGAACATGTGTAGATAATAGAAAACTTTGTGTGTGTAAAGGATTTTATTAGTCAGTACCCAGAAATAATGACCAATATAGAACAACCAAAGACAACAAAAATAAACAATGGAGGCAGCAGGATGCTCTGAAAAATACCAGTATGTCAGTAGCAGCATATGAGATTTGTATTATTCTGTCACCACTGTATTATGTCAAATTGTGCTGTAGATACCTCAAGTACACATCCTAAAATAGTGTAAACTCAGTGGGGACTGCAGGCTGCAGATGTCTGCATTGACCTTAGAAAAGGCAGTTGTGCTGAAGCTGATTTTATTTATTCTCTGTGTGTCTTTCAAGAGGTCTTTTAAAAGCCTGCTATTGTCAGTGTGTTTGGGGCCAGGAAGGTCTGGCTGCCCTGAAACCATGTGAGTCACACACAAACAATGCGATACTCTGTCTTCTCCCCACCGCTCGCTTCTCCTCAGAAATTAGACTGGAATCAATAAGGCATTTACAGCGGGTGACCCACATTTGCTACTCTCACATGACGACGTGGTGTTAGTAGTATTCAGCCACTTGGGTTAGAAGTGATTTGGGAACTTCCTTCAGTCCTCGCCGCGTCGGAGCGCCGACTGTTGTCAATAACGCCTGTGTTGGGGATGGATTTGGGTGCCTGCGGCCTCTTTTAAGGCAGCTCTCTGTTCGTTTTGTGTTGTAGATGTGATGGACCAGCAGAGGGTGCTGCACTCGGGTTGCCTGGTCTCAGGGGTTCGTACGCCTCCCGTCCGCCGCAACAGTAAGCTGGCCAGCCTGGGACGCATCTTCAAGCCCTGGAAATGGAGGAAAAAGAAAAACGAGAAGCTGAAGCCCTCCGCAAGTGAGTGTCACGTTAAGACCCGTGCTTCCATCGGTGGCGGTAAACGCCGGCTGGTTGGGTATCGGCGCTCGCAGATAGACCCAGGCTGCTTTGCATGTTTTCATTTTGCGTTGGACCAGTCTCATAAATGTTTGTGTTGTTTAGCGGCGGAGAAGAAGGCAGCTGTACGACAGAAGAGGGATGACCTCGTCAGGAGGAACCCCGGGGAGACGGAGACAGGTGCAAAATGACAGAACACACACACACACACGCACACACATATGACTCCAGGCTGATCTCGGTTCACTTGTTCAGCCACATGATGCAGAAGTGCAGACTCACTCCTGTCCTCTTCCACTGTATGCAGAGTCAGATCTTGCTTGTGGGGGTAACGGTGAAGATCCGGACACCCCGACTCACTCCGACGGCGAGGACCGAGACGAGGAGCCCGTGGCACCTCTGGCCAGCACCAGTGAGGACCTGGGCAGCGATTTGGAAGCCTCGACAGGTAGAGTGCCGTACTGTTGTCTGAGAAACATCCAGAAAGTAGACAAGTATACAAAGACACAGCACTTCTTGATTTATTTTATGTTTGAGGGTTAAAGCTGCTAAAGAATTATCATGTGACTCTGTAGTTCCTCTCAGCTTTATGGATTATTTTAGCATCTTTCAGCTCAATGTTTTGGTTTTATGGCCCACAACTTTACTGTTTTGGTTCAGTCTCACAGCTCTCACCAACCTCGTCTCCAGCTGTAACAGGCAGATGCTCTGATAAACCCACTGTACGCTACCTGTCCAGCACCAAATGGAGGATTGGCAAAGTTAGAGACTAACTGGTGAACAAAGTGGAGCATTTAGCAGCTAAAGAGCCAGATATTCCCCCCAGGAAACAGAGCTAAAAGGTGAATATTTGACTTACATTGGCCAGGTGGTGGTGGATATATAAATAAGCAGCTGTTTGCTAAAACACTCAACATAACCTGTTCCTGGTCGTTCCGCTGGCTGGGGATTATCCCAGCTCACATTTGGTGATTGATGGTGTACATCCTGGATGGGTCACCAGTGTATCACAGGGCTACCACATATTGACACTCGAGCTAGGTCATTAGCTTTTTGCAGCTATATGGTATTGGTGTACACGTTAGGCACTAAGTAACAAGAAATTGACTCTTTTTTGTGTTTCCTGTCAGTGACCATATCTAGTGCTAGTTTTGTTTTTTAAATTTAATTTAATTTAATTTTTATGTTTTTATTTATTCCGTTTTTTTATGTAGACTAGATATTGTATATACACACAAAACACAATCAAAGGAACACATTTGAAAAAGAAAAATAATTAAAAGAAAAATAGGTAAAATAAAAATATGAAGTAAAGCAACAAAGTAAAAAAAGAAACAAATCAGATAAATGCATAGGAAAATACTGGTGGAGCACAGCTCTCAGAACTCAGCTGATGCTTTACTACGCATATTTTAGAGGACATATTGGGGCAGTTAAATTATTAATAGGAAATTTATATTATTATGAATTATTTGGATAATTGAATTACAGCCAATAAATTATCTGTCCCTAATAATAAAAAATTCTATTGAATTCTAAAGCAAAGGCATTGATAGTGTGTATGTTCTATGAAAGCCAAACTATGTGTGTAAAGTTTATGTGCTAGAAATAATAAATGAACGTTTGAAGAGTCGGAGCAATGGAATATTACAGGTTGTAAACTTCTTTTTAAAATACAAAAATGTGAAACTATCGGTTGTCTTATCAGTGTCAGCCTTAAGAAGAAGATAATTATCGACATATTGTTGTCGGGGGATCCTTCATGAATAAACCGGTGGATTTTCCCTTTTAACAAACAGCAACTTTTAATTGGTGTAAATCAGGATTTGATACTCTTCATTGTATCCCCTGTTTGTGATTTAAGCTGATAAAAATGATTGTTTGTAATAAAATGGGTGATTCTGGTTGCAAAAAGCTAAACTTTTCCATGAATATCTTTTACTGGTGCAGCTATAATGGTGGTAGCTTTAGTTTGAGACACCATGTCTCTGATCGTCCACTAGGTGGAGACAAAGACTTCCTAATTGAACCAAACCATTGTATTGCTGATGTTTCATTTCAGTACAAGATATGACTGAAGACTCAAAGACAGTGGGAGATCCCAGCCAGAGTGAAGATGGAGAAGATGAAAGCACCTCGCTGAGTGACCCCGGCGACGAGCAGTCGATGGGGAAGGTGGAGGCCGTTGAAGGGAAACAGGAGGCGATAGCGGCGCAGCCTCTGAGACGAACCAGCACCTCTCCTCCACCCAAGCTGCCAGTCAAACTGCTCACCAGACTGGGCAGCCTGGACAGTGAGTTCACCAGGAGGACCCTGATGTAAAGACCCTCCATGGTGTCTGGCAGTGTCTCACTTTGATACCTTTCCTCCACAGGTGCTCCTGTAGTGCCAGTGAAGAAGTCCCCAGCCACCTTACCCAGGAACTTCACACTTCCCAAAGACCCCCATGGCTCCCTGTTAAGAGGCAGGATCTCCACCCCTACTGGGTCGCCCCACCTTGGGGCACTACACCCACAGCTGCCCCCTAGCTGCATCATTGAGGAATTGCACCGCGCCCTGGCCACCAAACATAGGCAGGACAGGTCAGATGCAGCATTTTTACTACATGTACTTGAAATATTAAGATGCTTTTAGTTTTTGTAGGTGTTATAATTTTTGGTATATGACATATGATACTTCTGTGCAAATTATTTTAACAAAATGATTAACAAATCCATCAATAAATGATATGGTATTAGCCCTGTTCACAGAATATGATAATCCAATTCCAATGCATATCACACAAAATATAGACATACATATGGACAATATGGACCAAAACAGACAGACTGCTGATACCAACTGTTCTGTTTATCGATATTATTTTTTCCGTACCTAATCGATTAAATGCTTAATACATGCCATAATATAGTAACAAGTCACAAGTCCATTTTCAGATGCCTCAGTTAAAATTTAGTTAAAATTCAGTTTAATTTTGTGAATTAAAGTTTAACAGGTCTATTTTCCATCATGAAAAATTCATAATAGAATACAAGTAATTCACATTTGTTCAATCCCACCTGTACATAACGGGTATACGTTAAAGAAGCTCCTTAAAACTAAAATCAAGGCTACATCAAATGCCAGAGAACAGCCAACGTACCAATAAAAATATGTCCCTTTTTCTCACCATTGTGATCTTACAAATTGTATTCACTTACAGACGACCACCCACCTAGAGCCGAAGGTTGTCCTAGGTTTCTGCCTGTTAAAAAGGCAGTTTTTCCTTGCCCCGTCGCAAGTGCTTGCTCATGGTGGAACTGTTGGGTCTCTGTAATTGTAAGGAGTTCGGTCTAGACCTGCTCTATTTGAAAAGTGTCCTGAGATAACTTCTGTTATGAATTGGCGCTATACAAATAAAATTGAATTGAATTGAAACTATTTATTAGATTTATTATTATTTATTACATTTTTAATTAAGTTCCGTGTTCCAAGCTCTTTAGCTAAGCTTCGTTGTTACTAGCTTTTCCTACAATGTAAGACATTCATTTATAACTGCAAACAAATACATCACGGGTGTCAAGTTATACTGTCTGATTATTTAAAGTTAATCCAGTGCCATGGTAATATAAGGTTGTCATTGACAGGCTTTGTTTTGTGATGTTTGATCTCAGTTTCCAGACGAAGGAGGGACGCTCGTCCCTGAAGCGCCGGCTGGACGGCCGCCTGTCCCGCACGTCCAGCACAGAGAGGGAGCCTGCCGGGGAGTCGGAGAGCAAGAAGGAGTCTGACGAGAACAAAGAGAACTGGCGTCTGGACGAATACTTGAACGACCAGGACAGCTGGAATGAGTCTGTGATCTCCGGTGGGTCTGCTGGGGCGATATTTGCTGCACTATTATCTGCCTGTTAATGTACAAAGCCAGTGAAATCTGGGCATCCTGTCAGTGGATAATGAAGCAGTGTAATCTCTGCTGATATTTGTTTACAGTGAGAGCATGACAGGGAGATTTACAGCGATGACGAACAGCAGCCTTGCTAGTGTTAAGTTTCAGCGGCTGTCAACATCTGCTCCGGTGGCCTAATTCTTGGCCATTCATGTAGGTCATTGGTGCACGGCCGTCTGCGGTTGACATGTCTGTGGCTCTGGGGGGTAAAAATATTTAAGGCCGTAGACTGTGAAGTTATGATGGATGCGACAGATGTGCACGCCACCAGCACGAGCCTGACCTGATACGAACATGTGATGACCGCAAATGCCTTGTGAGTTTACAGGACTAGAGCTCAAATTGAATTCTTTACACTCTTAAAATAGTTGGAGTCTAAAGTAGGTGCTGCTTATATCTGAGGCTGAAAACCCCTCAGCAGTTGCTGGTCACAATCAACCAGTGACATTTTGTAAACAAAATGATCTTTTAACCCCCAAGTCTGACCATGTCGATCAAATGAAAAGGGCAGTTTAACATCGTTACATTTAAAGAAATCTTCCACACATTAAGAATTGGTGCGCCAATGTGCCAAAAGCATGCAGTAGTGCTGCAGTGAAGTGGAGAAGGAGATTGTTTTCGGCAATGTAACCAATGAAGGTTTCAGAACATTAAGTGTACAAATAAGAATACACACAATGCATTTTGAGATTTTGAATGTAAACTACCCCACTATAAAACGCCACAGTGTCCCTTAAACTTGACGTGTGTGTAAACATATTTACAACTTTATTTACATTGAATCCAAAAAAAGAAGATCATGTAAGAGAATTCTAGGCTCAGTGATTGGATGTCTTTGGCCAAAATGCACCGACTTTTTATCACAGAAGCACATATTTTCTAACACAGTTGTTAATCTTAAGTACTAGCAATTCTATGGGGAAAAGCTTCATGCATAATTTCTGATCCAAGACATGAAAGAGCTCCAACTGTGAGTCACCTTACATTGTCTATGGGAAAAATGAATGCGCCTGAAATAGCTCCTCCCACTTGGCAACCCAATAAAGGAGCTGCAGGTTTCCATGGCTGAGATGGGAGACACAACTGTGGCTTCACCTATTGTAGCTTTCTTGCAGATTAACATAAGGAGGCCATTGAACCTCTGTGAAGGTCCAGGGTAGCATGGGTGCAGCAAAATTAGATGAGAAAACTGTAGTTTGGGTGAAGATTTAAAGTATTTTCCAGCAAACCAACCCTAAACATATACGCTTAAGCCAAAGCTGCACAATAGTGGCCTAAAATGAACAGCGTTAGAGCCCTGCAGTGGCCAGACCTCAGTCCAGAACCAGAATTTGTAGCAGGAGCTGCTGTCAAAGGTTCCTTTACTAAAGACTTGAGTAGTGTGTATTCATTTTTATGTTGTTTTTGTTTTAAAGTTTGTTTTTTTGTTCATCAGTAACAAAAAGTTAAAAATCCCCTCCACTTTCTGCAAAAGTATAATTTCCACATTGAAATCCTTAAAATCAGCTTTTCAGTGAGCACAGAGAAACTTTCCACTTGCAGCAGATGAATGTGAAAACATCCTTCTAGTGTCAAACTCTGCACAGACGGCATTCAAACAGTGAAGCTCAAACTTCCAACTGTAGTGGCAAGAATAAAAACTGTTTTTTGATTGGAGGGGACTTTAATGTTCATAAATACTACCATGAGAAAATCTAACCTAAACTAAATGCTATTACTAGATAAAAACACTAGAAACACATTAAAGTACACAGTAAAAAAAAACTATTGTACTGTGAAAACAAAATAGCCTACCTAGTAAAACTAAATTAATCAGAAATGGTTTCAATAACTTACAAAACTAGTTTAGAAATTGCAAGTAAAAACAGTTTGATCAATAATTTTTTTTGACCTAAAAAACTGAGTTTGTGTTACCTCAAAATGTTGATGTGATCAGTTTCAACAATTTTTTTGAGTTAAATGAGCATATCTGGTTTTTGTAGGGTAAAATCTAAAAAATATTAGGTAGCCTATGTGTCTGCAGAAGTACAGGCACAACTAAAATATTGTAGTTTAATATTAGGGATGCTATAGAGAGAGAAAAAACAATGTAAGGTAGGCATATAGACCCGGTAGACAATGGTGATTCCATAAGGGACAAGATTTTAAGCAGAGGTCAGTTACTCTTTAAACTTATAGTAATATTTATAAAGTAGTGATTTTGAACTGAAGAGAAGTCCATAAACTGTCTCTAAGTGACTTGCTAAAGCGAGGGAGAACATCAAGCTTTAATGTGATGGTGCATGGACACTTTACCTGGATGAGTTACTGAAGAACTCCACTGAATAGCCGAAATAACTTCCCCGGGGTCCCGAGAAAACAACGCGTTTCTCCGTGTCCAAGTTAAAAGCCGCACAAAGCTGGAGCAGAAGCACCACTACAGGTACAACCCACACGGTGTACTGACAACATTTTCCCCACGACCGGGTAGGTGAAAGTCCAGGAACGGTGCCCATCTCTTCTTTTGCGCGTCTCTTCTCTCATTGAATGGCTGAAGCGCAACACGCATCATCCGTGCTGTTCCTTCTGTAGGACAGTCCGGGTCGTGGTCATAAATCGGTGTCCTGAAATAATCCCTTCAGCTCCAATAGGTCCGGTGTACTGATCCAGAGAGAGAGAGGTGAAATGTAAAGAAAGGCAAGACAGAGTCAGACAGAGTGGGAGAGAGGGAG